AGTGTCAATGGCCTGTGACATCTTTCCCAATAAAAATGGAAACTATTCCAGTACTTATGGCTGTAATCAGGCATCATCATTTATGGCCACTAGTTGAACACATTTTTCAAAGTTGACCTCAGCAATGTTAAATGTGATTAAACAACTCATTTTTTCTATTTTCTTAATCAATACAGTGTCATTGAATATGTTGATGGAAATAAGACGGCTTTATGTGCTGATCATTTTTTGCGTCTGGAGCAGCTATAACATATTATATTGGTTTTGCTTTTGGTGATAATTCAGTGATATCAATTATCAACTTTTGGTCAAGTCTTATCATAACGATATGATCATATTGTGAAACCACTGTAGAAAATTTAGTATTCAAATGAACGATTCCAAGCTGATTTTAATTGAAAGATAACATAAGTTGTTGTTTTGCACATGTGAAAAGGACCATCTGATATAATGCATAACAATAAAACACAATTAATCATGAATTTGATCATTTATCTGTGATTTTGCATAAGCTTGCAAAATCCTAATACAGTGTGTAATTTCAACTTTTATTGCTCAGCCTTTGATAGTACGGATTTGTTTGACTAAGGTTTTAACATTGGACTATAACATAACGTATGCTGAGGATATGTAGGCTACTAACTGTCATCTAGTAGTAGCAGTAGTAGTCTAAGAAGAATAGAGTGTGTTGGCAGATGTTGGTTTTCAGCTGTGTGAAGAGTGCGAACAGGTGCTATAAATAAGAGCCTGAGTAGCTCTCCATGGTGCTGAAATGTCCTGGCTTTCCTCCCCTGGGATGAAAAATAAGACATAAAGTAAACCCTCTTCAGAACGGTTCAAATTAACAAATGATCTCTGAATATAACAAAGCTGTCCTGTCCTCCTTTTATTCAGCTTTTTATTTTTGCTGGCAGAAAGAACTGTTGTAAGGTTCTTGGGGAAATCTCAGTTGATAATTGTTATGTCTACAAGATGAGAAAAACAAATTAAGTATGCTAGTAAAAGAATAGCAAGCTGCTGGTTGCACAGTGTTGTTGCCTTGGAACAGAGTCTTCGGTTCAACACTGTTCAGTTCAACAACTTTGAACTTTCCCATGCACTTCAGTGGGAAAGTGTGTACATATTTTTTGACTAGTAGTGTATATTGATATCATTTGATTAAACAGTCTTTGTGTATCCTGTCCGATTATGGACACTTTCTTGTTGTTTTGTACTTTGGTGTACGTGTATTGTGATGGACAGATGCATGATGATGGCAGGCGATTGATGCCATCATCATGCATCTGTCCATCTGTCAGCCGGTTCATCACACATTCAGTACGTTTACAAGAGCACTCCCATTCAATAACCCTCTACAGAGACCTGAACTTCCTCTGATAGGATGTGACAGCTCTAACATGACAGGACTGACCTGTCCATCTGACCTTGGCATTTGCGTGCGCGTGTGTGTGTGTGTGTGTAATCTGTGCATTCACCCTGCATTTGCCTATATTCACGTATACATGTACAATATAATGTACAGCAGAGTCATGGCTTTGTGTGAGTGTGGAATGAATAAGAAGGGAGAGATGGAGAGAAAACACACTATGAATGCACTGCATCTGCTGAGAAAAATCTCTCTCCCTCCAGTATACTTCCTGTCACCATGCTAATCCATCTTCTTCCTTTCTGAGACATTTACCTCCACCTCCGCCTCATTCCCCATCCTCGGCGTCATCTGGCAGAAGTCAGAAACGGCCCCAGCATTCATCCAGACAGGCTAACCTCTCTTATCATATGCACACACACGCACATGCACACCCTCACACCATTTATGACAGTATTCTATGTCTTTAATGTGTGCAAGCCTAGCTTTATCTCTGTGCCATTTATAATGGCTCAGAGATGGCATCATTAAAGACAAGCCAGCTTGACTAAATGGGAGTGGCAAATTGACTGTAGCATTAGGAGAGAAGGGCCTCCATCAGGCTATCTGAGAGGATCCTATTAAGGAAGGCTTGCAGATGAATATGATTAGCTTTTCATTCCTCCTAATGGAAACATCTCCTAAAGAGAGGAGGAGATGAAATGCTTTGTAGTGATAGGGCCTTTGTACCACTGATGGGATTGTTATTGCCTAATATGGGTAGAAAGGCCATTAAAGTTTTTGAAAGGGACAATGAGTATTCACTGTAAGTATACGCTCACTTATAGCTGTGGATTAGCGGTTCACTGTGTGTGGCAGTGTTTTGGTTTGTTGATGAGCAAACCACCCTCCACTTTAATAGCTTCCTACTCCTACTGGGCTTTTTTTTTGCCAAAATCTGAGATTAATGAATATGAGGTTTCATCTCCTCCTTCAAAATGAACTGAATGGAGTTTTGGATGTTTGTGATTATATATGTATGTGTGTTACCATTCCGCAGTTTTACCGTCCCCAGCAGACTGTGACAGAAGTGCGTCATTAGATTATAAAATGACTATCATAAGCACGAGTTCTTAAGCAGTTTGTTATTTGCTCATGGAGAGCCTCTGGGCTTCTGTTTGTCAAGTCCTCCAATAACGACCAGGGCAACTATGTAACCTGTCAAAGTGGATGGATTTGATTAGTGTTATAGAACAACATGTTTCTGAATATCTGCAAAAATATCTGCATTGATAGGGTTCTTCTAGCTGTTTATTGTCATTATGTTGCTGTGAAACAGGTTGGTTAAAAAAAGGCTCAAATTAACACAGCAGTATTGACATTTCTGCTTAATTCTGTTTTCAAAAGGCTTTGGTGCAGTAAATAATGCATTGTATCTGATCAATGTTTACAACTTGGCAGGTGCAGACCGGTATGTGCATGAAAGTCAATTTGCATATGTGCGTAGCAGCAGTTACAGGTTGATTGACTAGATCTGCACTCTGCCAAGTCTATAGGGACCAATAATATACATTACAGATGCGTCTGGAAGCCAGTGCCAAATGCTATTCTATCCTTATGTTGTTAATATCCGTGTTAAAATGTTGGCTTATAGTGTTGCTGAAAAGGAAACAGAGAGAAAATTATGAGAAAAAAGCCAAAATACATAAAACCATGGAAGATATGACTGTACATCTTTATTTTTATTATTTATTCATTTATTTAGAACACTGTGGTGGAACTAGTATTAAGATACCATAAAATACCAATAAAAGTTTAGCATTCATTATTTTATCTAGAAGTATTTGCAGTTCATAGGACTCAACAAAGTACTTAAAGTAGAGCCTATATCATTAAAAGTACTCATTATGCAAGATTACTGGGCTCTGACAATGTTTCAATGTTGTATTGACAAACATGTAAGCAGTATTTTAATGCCATTTGTCTGTAGTACATATAATTTAACCGCATTTCTGTTACTGAATAACAATGTGTTCTGTGTGTACTGTATCTATAAAGTTACTACTAACTATGGCTGCTAGATAAATGTAGTGGAGTAAAAAGTGCATTGCATGCCTATGAAACGTAATGGTGTAAAACTATAAAATAGAATAGAATAGAATACTCAAAAGTATTGCAGAATTGTACCCAAGTATTTTACAGTATTTCATTAAATGTACTTTATACGACTGTTGCATGCATTTGCAGAACTTGTGTAGATGTGTAATTCCAGTACTGCATGAAGGTAGTTTAACCCCACATAGTTTATTCACGTTACAGCTCACTGTCATCTCTGTTTTCACTCTTTCTGACACGTTACATTGTTTTCTACAGGAGCAAGTGTGATGAAACAGAAGAGGCAGATTCCAGTGTAACATTTTGTTGCTGTCTTTCTGGCTTTGCTTCTGGTGCATGTTTTGCTTTCAGCCTCTCGGCGCCAACCAGACTGCAAATATGCAGCAGATATGTTCACAGATGAGTGTGTCTATTAATCATTTTCTCAATTGTTTGTTTACTTGGGAGACTGAAATATGCACACATCAACATGTCTAGCACACAGTATGTTTCAGAGCTCATGGAAAAAAAGTATTATTGTTGTTTAGTAGTAGTATTATTATTTTGTATTTTTATTTATACTGAAGAGATACAGTATAAACATTAACTTGACAATAATGATTTACATAAAACCTCACAACTTTACTCTCACAAAGTCCACTGTCTGCAATGAATTTGATGAATACAAAGGAAACCTTATTAGTTGCAGTTTTGAGGCAGTAATGCTTGAGGGTGGAGGTAAACAACTGAATTGTGTAAACATAAAAATCTTTCTACATTCAGCTTTAACATAATTACATTAACTTTTTTGTTTTTTTTTTTGGTTTATTTGTATACTTGAAATAAGTTATAATAAATATACTAGAACTTCCTATTTATCTGGAAAAGAAGAACGAATTACTGTTATGTTTTTTATCCTGAATAAGAAATAAAGACCACCAGAAATACAGGTTGGTTTTCCAGCTTAAGAAGCTTTTGAATTTCTTCTCTTCTGTCTTCTGTCTTTTCCTTCTACTATTGATTCCTGCAATGTGGCTTCATCTATGGTGAAAAAAGGCATTTAATATAGTTATTGTAATCTTGTTTTCTGTTTTTGAGCTCAAGATAAGATCGTTTTTTTGACTTGTAAATATTTTAGACTGAATTGGGTTTAATGACTTTTGGGAAATGTCCCTGGCATTTACTGTCCTCCCCTTCCTTCAGTCTAAATGTTAATAGTATCTGCTCTAAGTGGATGACTCAGTGGAGTTTACTGTGCCACTCAGTGCTAGGTAAGGTTTAAGAGAAGCCTCTGTCTTTCTCTTTTGGTCTAGGATTGAGTCTGTAGATCAAACTTTATCCAGTGGGGATGTAAATGTGCAGCTTGAATAAACCTAAAAGGAAAGAAGAAAGTACTGTACAGTACAAGATGAATGACTGGGCAGCAAGTGGTTGATACTGCATGACCTGAATGACCTCCAGCTGGCTGTGCGTGACTAGAACGTTGAATTTCGACAGACAGATTTTATTAAAGGCCCATTTCAGTAAATTGATTCTTTTTTCTCTCTGTCACCTCTCACAGATATGGAGACATGGTTCCCAAGACGATTGCAGGGAAGATATTTGGTTCAATCTGCTCTCTGAGTGGGGTGCTGGTAATTGCCCTGCCTGTCCCTGTCATCGTGTCCAACTTTAGTCGCATCTATCACCAGAACCAGAGAGCAGACAAGCGCCGGGCACAGAAGGTACAGGTGAGCACAGTTTTATTTCCTTTCAACCGGGCCCCAGAGAGTTGGACCTCCCGACCTGCAGCTCAGAGAGCTATCTCTCTCCCCCAGAGGGGGAGACTCCACAGGGTTCAGGTCTTCTTATTTGTATTTGTTTATATATATATGTATGTGAAATGGAAATTGACTTACAGAATATTCACATTAACAGTAGATGTGTGAGACATATTAAGTGTCACCATACATTAGTGGTCCTGTCCCCATGACATTTTCCCTTTGGACTGCATAAGTTATTCTATTTTGGAGGAATGTTTCCCTCATACCCAGAGTCAGAAAATGTCTTCTTTATAATGTCTCGGGGGCTACTGTGGTTCAGTGGGTAGAGCAGTTGCCTCCCACCCGGAAGGTCGAAGGTTCGAATCTTGGTGCCTCCAGTCCACATGTCAAAGTGTCCTTGGGCAAGACACTGAACCCCCAAGTTGGCTCCAATGGTTAGCGCTATTGGTTGAGTTGATGCCGCAGATGGCTGCCTCAGTTCTGTACCGGAAACAAATTCCTTGTGTAACATATTTGGCCAAATAAAGGTGATTGTGATCTCTGTGTGCAACTTATATATATATTTTTTTTTTCTTGTGTGTAACATACTTGGCCAAATAAAGGTGATTGTGATCTCTGTGTGCAACTTGTATATATATTTTTTTCTACATTATTCTAGTATAGCTCCATATCTGGGTTGTTAATGCAATCGAGACATTGATGAACATGTTGTAATTTGCATGTACTGTGAGACTTTTGTACTTTTATGCATATGGTGGTGTGTTGACAGTTATTCTACAGTTAGATTTAAAAGAAATCACCTTGTTTACAGTATTGCAGTATAACGCAATATATAAAATTGCAACCCCTGTATCGTGGTACATATCGTTTTGCCAGATTCTTGCCAGTACACAGCCCTACATAGAAGTGAATAAAAGATGTAGTTTGTTTTTTTTTTTTTTTTTTTTTTTGGTCTGCCCATGTGAGGAGATTTTATCCTCATAAGTAGCAATAAAAACACACACAGGCACAAATTTATAATTTGATTATTTAAATTGTTGTTTCAGCTCCAGGAGGTTTAAAGAGCCTGTATTTCTTTGGGTAATAGCCCAGACTTCCACCTAATCATTGTCAGGACTGAGGTTTCTTTTCCTCCTGACATAGAAAGTAGTTTTTGTTTGGAACCGGCGGTCCATTCCTCTCTCTCTCATTTTCATCCACATCTCTTGAAGCATGGCTTTTTTCACTCCTTTTGCTTATTTCTTCTCTTCTCCCCTCATCTGTGTTCCTCTGCCTCCATCCACTTTCCCTCCCACCCTCCCTCTCTCCCCCCCTTTGATTACTGCCATCCATCTCAGAAAATGCTCCCTGGTTTTAGTATAAATCTGTTTAAAGTCTTGCAGTTTGACCGCAGTTTATCTGTGGCCTGACCGCTGCCCAGCCTTAACTAATCCTATCCTTGTCTGAGCAAGAGTATAGTGTAACACAGCCTCTAGTGTAACACAGCCAAGTGTGCGAGGAGTGAAAGAGTCACAGAGGGGACTCCAAGCAGGTTGGAAAGTTGGGGAAATTATCTAAATTGAAAACAGGTTGGAACTGATGAGATGTATAGTGTTGACACAGAAAAGCAAGAGGAGCGGTGGAAGGAGGCAGGGGAGGCAGGTGGAGAGTAGAAAGGGGCAAGAGCTGGAGGCGATGTGTGTCCTTATGCTTTGTTCTTTCCGGAAATAGCTATCAGCCCAGTGAGGTGCTGGCTGGAAGGAAGGTGTGTGTCTGTCCATCTGCTTGTGTATAGTTTGTGCTTTTGTTTGAGTGCATGAATCCACGTCCAAAAGCTTGCGTCCACTATACTCCTTGTCAGTTTAGTTCTGACCTTCAGTTGGCCCACCTTCCTGTGTGTTCTCCACTGAGCTGCAGTGTTCTGAACACCGCTCTGTACCAAACAGCCACACCTCCAGAAGGACCCATCAAGTGACCAGTGCAGAATGACAGTGCTGTTGTCATTAACCAGCAGAGCCAGTCTTGATTTCCATGGGGCCCCAAGCAAAATTCCGCAAAGGGGCCCTCCTACCTGACCCGTGAGCCATGTAAACTGTTTACCATTGCCACATAGTCAAAGGGTCTAAGAATACATTGACATAAACAGAACATAAGGAGGTTTATACAAACAACATTCATTTAATAGAATATTTTATAATGAATCTTATGGTGATCTGTGAATCTCAAGATTTGTGTTAGAACAGGCTGAGGCTCAGTGTGGATGAACTGAGTCTGTGCTTATACTGGCTGATGATCCAGCATCTCCTCTGCTGACCAGCTTAAGCATTGTACCTGTAAAGTATAGATAATGATAGTAATATTAATTTTATCAGCTGCATCAGCCCCATTCAAACTGGCTCCCAAACACATGTGCATCCATATTGCCCAATATGAGTGAGACTAGATCGTCATCGTCTTGTTTTAAAACTATGTGCACCTATGAGGGACTGGTCCCCACAGAGGTTGCTGCAGAAAAGCACAAGTTTCATTTCATGCACACACATATGAACGCATGCTAGCATAAGACACATTATATTTTCCTATCTGCAGTTAATAAACAGTGTTGCCCATTGGCATTTATTAAACCTAACAAATATTGTTGTATTTCACCCTCGTTTTTGTCAGGCACAGAGTCACATAACTGCCCTGGAATTGGCTGGCCAGCAAGACCAAGGCATGCACTGCAGAGCTAGGTTAGCAAGACAGAGTGCACTGTGAGGCAGCACATCAGCTTCCCGTTACTGTTATTATTGCTGACAACCTGGAGATGAAAGAACACAACTTGACCTGGCTGTTGTTCCTGCAAAGCTGTTAACATTGTTACCTGCTTTGACACAAGGGGGAGGTGTGCCCTATGGAACCTGCATAGTGAGTGTAATAGAGGCCCTCTGGCTCTGCTTGTGGGACATTTCAAGTGTTCCTGGGGGCCCTCTGGCAGCCATGGGGCCTTAAGCAGGCCCTTAGTTTGCTTATACGTTAGTCAGCTCTGTTAAATGACTCCCTTAGGTGCATGAAGTTGTCCCTGGTGAAGTCAGTGACTTTCCTAAGCACCCATACATCCAACAGATAGGTTTTCCACATTTCATAACAGCATGGCTCATGTCTTATCATTGCTTTCATAATAATATTCCACCTGGATGCTGTGATCATTGTTAGTACTGCAGCAAATCTTAGTCTGGGTGCCAAGGATGATGATAGGTTTGCAAATGTGATATTTTAGAGTGTTTAGGGGATGCAATCTGTGTACCATCTCTGTCTTTAATTAGCTCACAGGATTGTGTGTTGCTTAGCATTTAAGTGTATGTGCTTAAAACCAATGGAGTATGTCTGGAATTACACTATCTTTAGTAGTAGATGCTGTGGACATTATTTGATTCTATGTGAGTGGTTGTTAACACAAACAACCCTTAGTCAGTCTGTCACTTTGCTCCAGACTGAAATATCTCAAAAACTATAGGATAGATTGCCATGATTGTTTACAAACTTTAGTGATTCCCAGAGGATGAATCGTAATGACTTTTGGTGATCTTTCACTTTTCCTCTATACCACCACTGGTTCAGAGTGAAATATCTTGACAAATGTTGAATGGATTGCCCTGGAATTTGCTGCAGATATTCATGGATGATAAATTGTAATAAATTCTTGCTTTGGTTTCTAATTAAATACCTGTGAAAATAAGACTATTCCCATCAGCCTCAGCTATACTTTGTGTTTAGTAAGTGTTAACATGTACTAACACACTGAACCATAATGGTAAACCTAGTAAATATATTTACATCAACATGTTAGCATTGTCATAAGGAACTTAGCATCCTGATGATAGCTCAAAGCACTGCTGTGCCTAAGTACAGCCTTATAAAGGCACTTAGCATCGCTACATACACTTAGTCTTGTATAATTTATAGCCACTGCAACCTTGTAACATCTGCTGCTGATATGTGTTTGGCGCAACACGTTACGTCACATTAATTTTTCTTTGAATCTAGGTTGGCAGACAGCAATCCACCAAATCAAATCAAATTTTATTTGTATAGCACCAAATCACAACAAAAGTCATCTCAGGACACTTTAAAAGTAAGGTCTAGACCTTACTGTTATCAATATTATTACATAGGGAAAACCCAACAAATCCCCCTTGAGCAAGCACTTGGTGACAGTGGGGAGGAAAAACTCCCTTTAACAGAAGAAACCTCCAACAGACCCCGGCTCTTGGTGGGCGGCCTTCTGCCTCGACCGGTTGGGGTGA